AAGGTCTTTGCAAGGTTGTGTTGTGTTGTGTTTTCTGAGAAGTCCCCATTGCCGCCAGGAGCATGAATAATGGTAAAGCTTACAGACTCTGTGATGTGTCTAGGAAGTCAGTGCCAGTACAAATTCTTCTCCACTTTTGGCTTCCTGAGGAAGAGCTTCAGAGATGCCCTGTCCATTTCTGGGCTCTAAGAGGGGACAGGATGGCTAGGATAATTATCCCAATTCTCTCTTCTGATTTTGGCGCTGTTCCAGGCAGACCTACGTCTGACCTCGTTCCCACATCACATTCCCTGCCGGCAGATTTTGGAATGTCAGAATGGCTGTAACTTCCCGTGGAACACTGGACATTTGCACTCATTAGATAAAGGACATGCTTACCCCATTCTGTGGTCTTCTAAGAGCATACCCTGCAAGCCCTTGACCATTTGCAGGCGGTGGAGACTGACATTCTCTGATTATATCACTCGGAGCTGCAAGGAGAATGTGGCACAGAGGTATATGAGTTGGGTTTCATCACCACCGGGCTAGGTGAACTTGGCGGGGGAAGTAAGTGAACGTCTCTGAGCCTTAGTGTGTTTATCTTTTAAGGTTGCGATCAATTTTGATAACATGAAGGAAGCATTATAGAAACGTTATCAAATGAAGGGAAGACTGGAGAATTTTTTGTGAGAATAGAAAAGGAAGTAGCTAAAAATGATTTGCCTGTATCTTTTCTTTCTCACTTTGTGTTATTCCAAGTCCTCCAAAAAGCACATGCCAAGATGGGATTCAGTGCCTGTGAGAGAAGGTGGGGAGGCCCTCGGCGAGGCTGGGGTAGCTGTCACATTTCCGTGTGGGTCTGACTGCAAGGGAAGGAGGGGAGGGCGGGAGACCGTCTCTTAGATGGCAGTGTGCTCTGAGGAAGGTGTGGCAAGGCTTTCAGGGAGTCCTGAAGCCAAAGCCATGTGGGGGGGGCCTCCTGTGTCTCCCAAGGATGGGCCTGCCCTGGCATCCCTGCACACTCCTCAGCCCGGAGCAGGACCTTCACTACACTGATGGTGGGTTCCAGAATGCCACAGGCAGGACCCTTGGTTGAACTCCCTGTAATTGGAGGTCTTGGGGCACGTTCTTGTGACGACAACTTCCTCTCTCCAGAAAGTTTTGACTAGCCAATAATGTGACGCAGAGCCTTCCCTCAAGTTAAGCTGCTCTATCGTGTTGACTTTTTAAATTACCTTGGAGTAAGGAATTCATAAAAAGAGAAGGGGAGGGGTGACTGGTGAGGGAAGGAAAGGCATAGAGAGAGACGGGGTTAGTAACCTCTAGTTCAGAGGCCTCCTGAAAGGCTCAACCATGCTGTGAGTGTCCTTGGCAGGTGCAGAGGGGACACTAAGGAAGGAGTTACGGATGTACGTGTACAGGGTGGGAGTCTGGCAGAAGGCCAGACAGTCACCCCTAGGGCACTCCCTGTCCACTCCCATTCCTTTCTATCTGCGGACTGGTGAGGGGGTAGGTCTCCATCTCCCTGGGCCTCGCTGATGGGCCTCACTGCTGTCACCACTTGGGCTCTCCGTGGTGCTGGTGAGGCCCCGCCTGAGCCTGGACCTCAGGTTGAAGGAGGCTGAAGCCCAGCTCGTTGCGTCCTGCTGGTCGTCCTGGGCTGTTGGTGGTAAACATGGCCGTGAAGCGCTCTCTGCCTCAGAGAGGTGCTGACAGCTTCAGGGATGCACCCCTCTCCTTCCCCCTTCTCTTCCCCTTGCTTCTCCTCTCGCCTCCCACCTGGACTTGAAATGTCTTCATTTTCGGGTGTATCTTGGAGACTACAGCCCATTCAGGACACTGGGTAGCAAAACTGAAGATTTCCTCATGTAGCTTCCAAGACTCCCAAGCCCTTTATTTCTAAGCATTTAAACAAACAATGGTTTCAGGGATAAGTGGGAGCTGTGTGGGCTTCTGAAGATCATGAAACTAAGTTTGGCTGTAGGTATTGTTTTTTAATAACATTGCTATCCCATGGTTGAAGCCAACTTTGGTTTATAACCCCATGAAGATGGTAGGTCATTAGTTGTTCTTCCTGTTTTCCTTCTCTTATTAAGAACATTTTTTCTTCCTAAAATTTTTTCCTTCAAAGAATATTTATTTCCATGTAGAAAAGTGAGGAGAGGGTGATTTGTGTGTGTGGCTTTTGTTTTGAGTTTTTTTCCCCTAGAACATTTGAAAAAGAGGAGGTATGTGAAATGATTTCAGAGGAAGAGAGAAGAATCAAATTGTTCTTAAGATCCGCCAAGCTTCCCTGTGAGTTAACACTGTTCAGGGTACCATATTGATGCTCAGTTGTACCAGAAAACATGCACTGGTCTATAAGTCAGAACTTGGTTCTCGTCCTCACCAGGCTGTAAACTAGGGGGACACCTTGCTGAGGTCTCTGCACTGCTCAGGGTCTTATTTGAAAGACGGTGGCATAGAAAGGATACTGGAGAGGCCACTCTACCCCAGACCCTTTGACTTATCTTGGTCCCTATTTTCGGATCCCTTCATCAATTTAATGGATGCATCCAAGGATTCCTGCAAAATCTTTAAAGGGAGAGGACTAGATTTTAATGCAATTTTCAGAAAAGGAAAATAAGTAGGTGGAAAGTTGTTTATTTTTTGGTCAGGATATTCTCTAGGGGTGCAGGGTATCTCTTTTAAAAGTATTTTCTGAAATGTTGAGGTTTCATTTGAAAATCACTTGCTATAGAAGAAATGAGGAAAATCTCAAATGAATAAAAGAGAATCAAGAGATGGCAATACCGAGATGACAGATGTTGGAATTATCTGACAAGGATGTTAAGGGCGCCATCATTAAGATCCTTCCATGAGCAATTACACTCTTGACACAGAAGAAGTAGAAAGGCGGGGCGCCTGGGTGGCTCAGTCGTTAAGCGTCTGCCTTCGGCTCAGGTCATGATCCCAGGGTCCTGGGATCGAGCCCCACGTCGGGCTCCCTGCTCTGCGGGAAGCCTGCTTCTCCCTCTCCCACTCCCCCTGCTTGTGTTCCTGCTCTCACTATGTCTCTCTCTGTCAAAAAAAAAAAAAAAAAAAAAGTTTAAAAAAAAAGAAGTAGAAAGGCTCAGCAAAGAAATAGAAGAAAGAAGAACCAAATGGAAGTAATAGCATTAAAACCTACAACTGCTGAAATAAAATCTAAATGAATGGGCTCAACAGCAGAGAGGAGATGCTTTCTCCAAACATTGCTAACTGAACTGACTTAAGACTTTGGGCAGGATATGTGGTCATAAATATAGATGTGGTTTAATATTTAATTATTTAATAATTATTATTACAAGTTGCCCCCAAATCACACCATCTTTGAAACATCCTATTTTGCTGTTTAAAGAATTCTCATGGTGAACACTTATACTGCGTGTTTAAAATAGGCACCCAAGTGATGAGTTACTTTGCCTCTAAAAAATGTCAGTGTGTCTGTTGGAAGCTGGCCTCTGTGTGCCAGGAAGGCGGTTATAAGGCAGCTGAAAATACGACCAACCAGTCCTTGCTGGGCTAAGAGTATCACCACTGGAATGTGGAAACGAAGGTGTCTCTGCCAGTCCCACCACCTGTGAATCAGTAAGGGATTCAGGCCGGAGGACCAGGTTTCAAGGGGGACACTGGCAAATGGCATGGGTGCAGACAAGGTCAACTAGGATAGTGAGAAGTCCAGAAGAGTGGTCTGGTGAGGAAAGAGTGCAAAGCCTGGGATTATTTAGTATAAAGAAGAGGGTCTGGATTGGCTGTATTTCTACATCTGGAGGGTTCTCATTTAGAAAAAAGATGGTCCCCTCGTGTCTGTGTTTGTTCCAAATGGGCCATTCGTACATTATAATCTCACGGGGCCGTGCATTCTAGGAAGGCAGCTTTTGAAAAACTAGTTCTTGAAACAGAGTTTTCTTGTCTGTAAAACAGCATCTGGTGTTAAATGCTTGTAAACCAGTTGAAAATCCACCTCTGTGGGCTGGATTGGGATTGACTCAGACTTTGGGGATGAAATGGCCCGCGTGGGTGGTGCTGCCTGCCAGGTGTGTACGGGGTTGTGTGTGAGTAAAGCTGATGGACACACGCTGCTTAACGTCTCCAAAGGGCTGAACAGAGTCTCCCCTGGCCCCTGGTGGAGGCTTGTCTTCCCACCCTGGTGCTTTGGGAGCCACCATCCTGAGCTCTCTGAGAAACCCACAGAGCGGTAGGCACTTGTGAAACGGTAATTAATCCGACGCCCGCTCTCTTGCCTTCACTCTGCTTGATCATCTCTCCCGGAGAGAGGAGTGTGTTCTTCCCCAGTCGTCCTGGACAGCCCTGCCTCTGTGGCAAAGGCCAGTGGAGGGGGCAGGGGTCCCTGTCCCTGCACCTGGGCGGGGGGGGGGGGGGGGCGGGACATGGGCAGGGGGGGCAGCTGCTGTCCTGGTGCTTCCTCAACGCATGGGGTGCTGCTCATCTTGTCAAGCACCTGGGATCTCCGGGACTGCCGCTGAACCCTCTGTCCCTGTCCTTATCCCCAGCTGCCCTGGGGTCTCCTTGGCATCCACAGTTAGTCAGGTTCACAGTCAGCAGGGCTATCCTCTTGGGTAACTACAAATGTACTAGTAACCTCTCCAGGCTTGGGTCCCACCTTCTCCCCTTTAAGGAGAAGAGGGTGGGAGCTGCATTTCCTATGCTTCTCACAGTTCACAGCTTTGCCTCCTTCTCCCTTGTGGTCTTCCTGCTTCTCCCACTCCTCTGGAGTGATGTGTAGTCTGCTTGTGGTCCTCGGGTGTGGCCTTGGCTCCCACCTGTCCTCTGCACCCCGGAGAGATGCTTTCCTTAAAGGGCTTGAAGGAAGCTGCTCAGACCAGACAGGACGTTTCCCACTTGTCCTTTGGGGCACTGAGCTCCAGGCCTCTTAGAAGTCAGGCCGGGAGCTGATGCGTGTGTTTGCATAAGTATTAGCAGCTCACCGTGTGCCCTGGTTCTGTAGCGGAGGACAAGCCTAACTTATTCATTTACAGCTTCTTTTATTGCAGAAAAAGGAGTGGACGTGGGATGAGAGCAAGATGCTGGTGATGCAGGACCCTATCTACAGGTAAGAGTCCTATCCCCTGCCTGTTGGCCCTGGAGCTGTCAGGCTGGGGGGCCAGATAAATTCAAATAAATTTCTGCCGCTTTTCCCTTCTGTGACCCGTTGTTTCTATATATGTAAGTACAAGAAGCATGTCTACCTTATCTTTAAGCTCGAGAGGAAAATTCTTCTTAGGCTCAGTTGCACTATCTAGAAATGACGAAGGATTTCTGCTTGGTGTTTAGTCCGAATCTTTTGGTTGTAATTTGAGACTCTTCCAACTTGTGCTAGTTTTATCTTCACTGAAATTTTATAATTGCATATCTCTTCCACCTCTCTGCCCCTTCAGAAACTGAGCGCAGATAAAGGGTTTGTGATCTTCTGGGAAAGCAGAAAGTCACACATATAATCCCTAGAAATTGCTTTCACAACGAGATCGGTAGGATTCCTCTAGAGATTAGATGTGTACTACATGGGCAGAGGAATACCTGGGAGTCACAATACAGAGCACCAGGGTGCTCCTTGGACCCACCGTGGGACCTCAATGTTCCTCTGGTGTCGTGGACTCCACTGACCAAGCCCCACCCACCCCACCCCTACCTCCTTCCTGTTTTTTTCACCGACAGAATGGGTATTAGCTCTTCCTTTGGTATTTGGGAGAACCTAGAGCCAAATGACTTGCTTCGGTCGACAAAACGGATAAAGGTTGGGACTTCACTGCCAAATTGGCAACATGGTGGCCCTACTTTCTAGTCAAAGAGTGGATGCCTGTGAAATGGAATTTCCATTCATTCAAGGAAATATACGAATGTGAAAACACTCAGGTCAGGTGCTGTGCTGGATGCACAGCATCCAGCTTAGTCAGTGGATGACTAAAGTGAGTCAGTCACGGTCCCTCATTCTCGGGGAATGTTGGTCTGGAGGGAAGCACATCACTGGGGCGCAAGACCGTGTGTCTGACAACATGAGTTTCTTCCTCTGAGTTCCTGTTGTACTTTTAGATGTTTGCAAAAACAAGTGTTCTAGTGTGTTACTGTCACTTAAAGTCTTCTGCTGGTAGACGATGAGGTTCTTGCGGGGGAAGGACTATGCCCACCTCACTTTTGTATGTCTAGCGTCAAGCCAGTGTCTGGCCTGGATGCACCATTTAATAAATGTGTGATGGGTGGATGGAAAAATGCACTCGACTAATATCTGAAAATTAACTTGAGTGTTACGGTGATTCACAGGAGGGAATAATCACTTTCTGCTTGAGTGATAAGGAAAGCCTTCAGGAAACAGATCGCATCAGAACTGGGCTTCCAGGATGTGAATGGATAAGCCCCTCATTTGCCTTTTGTAAAGGGAAGAATTTCTTGGAGTGTTTCTGTTCTTTTTTTTTTTTCATAGTGATACCGTACACATGCAAAGCCAGCTCATTGTGGATGTTGCTCCTGGACTTGAATCAACCTTCCCTGGGTTGAAAGAAAGGACTTTCCCCAAAGTTTTAACAACATAGCCCAAACAAGCTATCAGTTTTAGTTTTTATAACAACTTTATTTTGAGGTGTAGTTGACCTACAAGAATTGAGCATATTTAATGTGATTACTTTGGTAAATTTTGACCTATGTGTACACTTCTAAAGCCATCACCTCAGTCAAGATGATGAGCATATGTCACCCCCCAAAGTTCCCTTGTGTGCCCACTTGTTACCTTTCCCTCCCACTCCTTCCCCCCACCCCTGTCCTGTCCCATCTCCCTCCTTCCTGCCCTCCACATCCCCAGGCAACTACTGACCTCCTTTCTGTTTTTCCAGATGAGTTTGTGTTTTTTTAAATTTTGTATAGAGTCGTACAGTGTATCCTTTTTCTGGGCCTGGCTTCTATCCTTAAGCATAACTATTCTAAGAATCACTTGCCATTCTATGTATCAGTAGCTTATCCCTTTTTATTCCTAAATGGTATTCCATTGTACGAGTATAACCCAATGTGCTTAGCCATTCGTATGTTGGTGGACATTTTGGTGGTTTCTAGTTTGGGGCTATCACAACAAAAGCTTATGTGACTGTTCAGTACAAGTGTCTATATGGACATACACTTTCATTTTTCTTGGGTGAATACACAAGAGTAGAATGACTGATTATATGGTAGGTTTGTTTTTTTTTTTTTTTTGGTTGGTTTTTGTTTTTGTTTTAAAAGATTTTATTAGAGAGACTACAAGCAGGGGGAGGGGCAGAGGAGAAGGGAGAAGCAGGTTCACGCTGAGCAAGAAGCCTGATGTGGGGCTTGATCCCAGGACCCCGAGACCATGACCTGAGCCGAAGGCAGACGCTTAACTGACTGAGCCAGCAACGCGCCCCTATTTTTGTTTTTTTCATGAAACTGCCAAACTTTTCCAAAGTGGTAGAACCACTAGTGGAGTTTGAGATCTCCAGTTCTTTACATCTTTGCCAACATCTGGTATTGTTAGTTGTTTTTTTTAGCCCTTAAAATACATGCATATTAGTATCTCACTGGGGGTTTAATTTGCATTTCCTATTGACTAATGACCTTGGCATCTTTTCATCTTATGTGCCATTCCTGCATCTTTTGTGAAGCATCTGTTCAAATCCTTAGCCCATTTTTCATTGGGTTGTTTTGTTTTCTTACTGAATTTTGAGAGTTCTTTATAAATTTTGAATACATATCCTTCATCAGGTGTTTGGTTTGCAAATATTTTCTCCAAGTCTGGCTGGGCTTTTCTCTCTCTCTTTAAAGATTCTATTTATTTGAGAGAGAGAGAGAGAAAGCATGTGTGAGAGAGAGAGCACAAAAGGGGAGCAGCAGAGGGAGAAGCAGACTCCCGCTGAGCAGGGAGCCCAATGCGGGACTCCATCCCAGGACTCTGGGATTATGACCTGAGCCAAAGGCGGATGCTTCATCAACTGAGCCACCCAGGCATCCCTCAATTCATTTCTTTAATATGATACAAGGGATATATCAAAGTTTCTGTTTTTCCTCCTGCAAACAGATGTCTCCTTGCTCCGGACTCATTTGTTGAAAAGACTGTTCTTTCCCTGCTGAAGGACCGCTGTTGAAAATCTATTATTCCTCTCTGTGTTGTTCATTTCGAACTCTTCATTCTGTTCAATCCATCGCGTTGTCTGTCTTGATGCCAGAACCACAGTGTCTTGTTGACTGTGGCTTAACAAAAATCCTTAGAATCGGGTAGTCTGTCTTCTAGCTGTTCTTCTTTCTCAAAGATTGCTTTCAATTAGTACTAGTATGATGTAGCTTTTTCCTTCCCTTCACTTATAAGAAGAAACATGCTTTTTGATGGTGGGTGAAAAACATCAAAGAAATATTAAATTTTAAAGATTTTATTTATTTATTTGAGAGAGAGAGAGAGAAACAGCATGAGAGGGGAGAGGGTCAGAGGGAGAAACAGGCTCCCCGCTGAGCCAGGAGCCCAATATGGGACTCGATCCCAGGACTCTGGGACCATGACCTGAGCCAAAGGCAGTCGCCCAACCAACTGAGCCACCCAGGCGCCCAAATTTTAAAGTGAATTTAAAAAAAAATTTTTTTTTAATTTTAAGGTAGGCTCCACGCCCAACCTGGGGCTTGAACTCACAACCCTGAGATCTATTTGACAACCTTTCTCCCCACCCCCCAGAAAAACAAAACAAAACAAAAAAACCTCATCCAGCAGACTTTCTGGTTGTAGGTGTCTCGTGGATATCTTGCTAACCTATCAGAATTCAGCAGCAGCCTGCATTTACCAACAAAGGTACGAAGTTTTGCCAGTGCTGTCCCAGGCTTCTAGATGCTTTCCCCCCCCATGTATTAAATTGGGGTGTTTTTGGTCTCTGTACATGTAAATGTGTATGTCTGTGTGTTATGAGTCAATGAAAGAGGACTGTATTCTAAACTGTGTGTCTCATTTCATCATCAATAAGAACATTTATCATCATGATAATATGGTAACACTCACAAATGAGCTTTTCTTGGGGCCCGTTCTGCCCTTACGGAACCCGTCTGGCATTGCTGCAGAATACATAATTGCCGATAGCTTTTATGAAACACGATTACTCTGGCATTCACTTCCAGAAAACTCCTTTGTGGTGCGGTACGTTCTTCCACTCCAAAAGAAATGCCTTTACCACATCAGTAACGGGATCCTCTTTTATTAGCTCAAATTTTAAATTTAAAGTTTTTGCATCTCTCCCATTGAATAATAGAATCAAGGTTGTTTTTTTTTTTTTGTGGTGAAATATAAAATTTGCCATTTTAATAATTTTAAGCGTACAAATTAGTGGCACTAATCACATGGTGTTGTGCAGCTGACACCACCTTCCAAAACCTGCTCATTGTTCTAAATAGGAGCTTTGTGCCCATCAGCGAGGACCCCTGTTTCCCTCTCCCCAAGTCCCAGGCGACCTCTAAAGTCATGGGATCTTACGAGGTTGAAAGCACTGCGGTGGGCACGTGGTCCAGCGCCCCCCCATTGCAGGAGGCTTCTGTCCCCTGTGCTGATTTGCTGGGGCCGTGCTTTTCCCTATGTTTATGAGACTTTTGTCCATTGATCCTGGCTCTCTTCTCTGGAGCCACAAATACGTAGATCTTATTTCCCTAAAGCTCCCAAAGCCATTCTTCATTATGCTTTTTCCTAGACTTCCTAATTTCAGAACCCATTATTTTCCTCTTAAGATGTATTAGAATTTAATATGGTATCCCAGATGCTGTCTTATCAGCGTAAGATGTAGAGACCTAATTTTACCCTCATGATAGGGAGTTTTGCATTTATTTTTAAAGAATGAGATCATACTATATTTTGCTTATTTTTTTTAAAGATTTTGTTTATTTGACACAGAGAGAGAGCACAAGCAGGGGGCAGCAGCAGAGGCAGAGGGAGAAGCAGACTCCCCACTGAGCAGGGAACCCAATGTGGGGCTCGGTCCCAGGGCCCCAAGATCATGACCTGAGCTGAAGGCAGACGCTTAACCAACGGAGCCACCCAGGCACCCTATATTTTGCATATTTAACAAACTGTGTTAGGTCCTACCT